GATAGCGGCAGCAAGCCGTGGACCCAACCGCCGTGCCGCCGCCGCCGCAGGCAGCAGCCCTGCGACGGCAGCGGCAGCAAGCCGTGGACCGAAACGCCGTGCCGCCGAGTCCCGTGGCTGTGGCCGTGGGCTTCTGGCAGGAAGGTACGGCCGCAGCTCGGCGGCACGGGGGCGTCGCAGCGTGCCGCCGCCGCCGCCGCGCTGCCCCCCAGGCACGGCGGCGGCAGCAGCAAGCTTGGGCCCAAACGCCGTGCCGCCGAGTCCCGTGGCTGCGGCCGTAGACTGTGGGCCGGAAACTGCAGCCGCAGCTCGGCGGCACGCGGTTCTGTTCAAGTCGCCAAGCGTGCAGCAGCGCCGAACCACGCTTCCCGGCCTCGGCGCATGCCTTCAGGGGCCCCCTATCGCTGGGCACACCCCTCCAACACTGAACATGCGCCCGGGGGGAGGGCGGCCCGGGCTGCCCAGGCCAAAGTGGGCCGCCCTCGAGCAAGAGGCGGCCGGTCTGTGTGCTGAATGAATGAATGAATGAATGAATGAATGAATGAATGAATGAATGAGAGCACTGCCGGCGCTGCGCCGCCAGGTCCGGCGCCGCCTCCAACCCACCAGCGCACCGCCAGGAGTGCTAGGAAAGACAGGCTGAGCACTCTGCAAAAAACTCGACGGCCGCTTCCAAGAGGGTCGTCAAGTCCGGCCGAGAATGGACGAGGGGCTGGAGGAACTTGCACACACGGGGATATGCTTGCATGATAGAGGGCGAGCCACCACAGGGGGGGCACATAAGACTTGGGACTTGGGGTAGACAGATATTCCTGGAAGAAAGTGAGCTGTTGTTCTGTTCTCCTACTTAGTACTTGCAGGTCTCCCGAGACCGCTGCGACCCCCATTTGAAGACAATTATTATGGCGCTCTGTCAGTCGGATTCAGGTTTGTCCCGTATTTACATGTGTTGCACACATGACATGGACAGAGGAGTACGGTTGGATACACATGTCATATTGATCGGCACAAACAGCTCAAATGCATGCAGGGATCGCAAAAATCAGTCAAGAGCTTCCTGTTAACAGCGCTATCCACACCTGACAGACTCGTGTAAACTGCGGTTTAAGACTTTGCAATAAGACCGCATCTGAAGTAAACGTTGGGGTGATTGCATCCAGACAGTCAAACAGGTCTGACAGGAGTAATGGGGGTGGCAAGAGATTGAACTGCTGGGGCGAGGCAAGGGCAGGCCAGGTAGTTCACAATCAAGCAACACGAATCCCAACAAGAGTTGGGGGGGCTTACTGCCACAAAAGCGTGGGCAGGGCGCACCCTCCACAGCTATGCGCTCATGCACGCTCACAGCTCGCCCGAACCAGATCACCACACACTCTGTGAACTGTGTCCTGGCATGCCAGCCCCGCCCGCCAGCGCTCTGGAATGGCGCTCACGCCCCACAGCGCGCCCGCCATCTGCCCAAAAATGCAGCACACGGTGTCGGTGTCCAGGCCCATGGCAGCCAGCGTCATGACGCCGGCCTCGTAGTCTGTGGCATGGAACAGACCCCACAGCGCCGCCTCCAGCGAGTCAATCACATAGCCCGATGTGGATATCTGGTCGCGCGTCTTGGTCTTGTACGTCCCTTGGCATATCGCCTTGACCTTGGGGCTGGCCACCAGCGGCTCGAACTCGGTGTTGTCACATGCCTCATGCTTGGATGCGCCGTTGAGCAGCCTGTGGATGACGTGGCCCAGCAGAGCCGCGCTGTCCAAGCACTCTGGGCTGGCATGCGTGACGGCGCTCGACAGCCTGGAGTGCTCCACTGCGGCGGCGTGGTTGGTGTGGTAGAAGACCGGCACCGGCGCCAGCCGCATGATGCCGCCGTTGCCCGAGCTTGTGTAGTGTGTGAGCCCGTATGCTTTGAACTGGAACGGTTTGCCCAGCATCTCACAGTGCTTCTTGTCGTGCCCATACCCCGCGATTGAATTCTTCGTAGTCCCACCGATGTCAAACGCATACGGGGCGCTGGACATGTACCCCTGAGTCAGCCAGCGCCAGTACCGCTCCATCTGGTCGGCGGCATCGAACTGCCTCTGGGTAGCCAGGCTCTCTGCCAGGCACAGCATCATGGAGGAGTCGTCGGTGAAGGAGCCCGGCGGCTTGCTGTACGTATGGCAATACTCCATGTCTGGTGTCACCGAGTAGCTGCCCCGTTCCTTGAACTGATACGGCGACCCCAAGGCGTCGGCGACAATGCCCCCCAGTAGGCTGCCCATCATTTTGTCGTGCAGTGACAGCGGCTGGAGGTTAATGTCCATGGGGGGGGGGGGGGGGGGGGGGGGGGGGGGGGGT